AGCGAGGGAACTGGTGGCTTGTTCCACTCTGGCAAGTCCCAGAAGAGCCCTCTCTCCTGGCAGCCTAGCACTTGAAATTTTGGTCTTCTGGTGTGGGCTGGAGGGTGCTGGCTGTCAGTGGGTATCTCCTCATGCAGGGCAGCTTCTTCAGAGGATCTTGATGAGTTATCCTCTGATCAGGAATAGACCCAGGAACGTGCATGCTGCAAGGATTCCAGGCAGAATCCTCTTTTCAGGAATCTTTATGTACTCTGGCAGCTGTAACCTTTCACTGGGAAAATAAATCAAGAATGAAAATATTTTTTCTAATGCATCTCCTCTGTAAAAGTTGGCCTTAATTATAAACTGAATTACAGCTGTAGGCAATTTTGATACTTCCTTGGGAGCACAGCTCATAAGAGATGTGGCACTGTTCTGGATTGCTCTGAGAGTTTATGATGGGTTTGGACAGTCAATAAATTTTTTTTAAAAAAGTGGTCTTTGTCAAACCATTGAACAACAAATGATGCTGCAATACTATTTAACTGATGAGTACTTTTGGTGAGTGAAGTGAAAGGACTAACTTTATGCAGTTGGAAAAGGAGGAAAAAAAATGAAGAGAAAGTAACTATCAGTGAAAGATGTTTCTGGCTGCCTTTCAATTCCAAATTCAGCTAATTCTGCCTCCTGAAAAGAAGATAATTTCCACATTTCTGTAACTGGGAACACGTAATTGAAGTTATTTTCTCCCAGAGAGAAGAAGCTTCTTCTACAATGTTTGCAAATGGACAAGAAAAATGACCACATACAGTGTATTCTGAATGATGGTGCATTCATCACATCATCATCTTCAGATGTCTTTGCAGATTTTGCACTGCAGTTTTTTCCTATATGGGTAAATATTTGAGTGGGGATGGGGAAGGTTGTTGTTGACAAATGCACCATACTGACTGCAGAGCTGCCTTTTCTGGGCAGTCCTTACAGCTGAGACAGGTCTGGAGTAGAAAACATGTACCAGGGAAGCACTGAAGCAAGTACCAGCTTTGTGAACCAAAATAATTATGCAGTGATTCCACACGACTGCTTCTTTTGACCTGGCTTTTCAGGAACTGAACTTTAATAAGGAAGATGAGCCAGATGTTGTTGCAGCATTTTGATAGTGGAACAAGCAATTAGCTCACTTCCTTTGTAGCATGAAGATACTTTCTGCTACAGGGCTTAACCCTGGAAGTGCTGGTGTTTTCCCTGGAAGTGCTGGTGTTTTCCTTAACATCCCAACTAAATATGCAGGACAGTGTTTAGGAATGCTTTTACATCTGCACATGCTGCTGCAATCCTCTTCTCTTCCTGAGCTTGCTCCTGCAATCTTCTCTTCACTGAAGTTGCTTGGTGTTTGATGACAGTAGCAAAGGAGGTACTTGGGTGCCTGTGCTTCCAAAGCATAGTCCCTCCTGCCAGCTTTTTGCTGGGCTCTTTTCCATTTTTCTGGGTCAGTTTATCATCCCCGATGCTTCTGTGGTTAGCCAGACAGAGTGGTGCTTGGGGTCTGCAAGTCAATGCAGTCCCTTTCTTTGAGCTGTTTCTAGCTAAGGAAGTGGATATTTGTGTGCATTGAGGTGTGTGCATGGGGAAAAGAGAATGCATGAAGTTAACTGGTAGATCAGACAGCAAATTGAATTTCTAGACAGCCTTGATTATTGTACAGATCAGGAGAAAATAGAGGAAGTTTAATATAAACAACAACACCACAACTGTTTTGTGAGGAAAGCCAGAGTTATATTTTTACCCTGACCTAACAAAGGAGGAGGAAGGAAACTGTTTTGCTGAAACAAGCATTTTATATTGGACTAAGGATACACTTTCCTCTCTATGTTTGTGTGTGTGCGTGCCCCAGCAAACAGCATGTTCATATGCATGAAATGCATTTTCTTGCAGGCACATACTCAGCATGTGCCATGGGATGAAAAAATGCTGGTCCAAAAAAGCATAGCATTTTAGTCAAAATAAGTCAAAGTGTCTCATAACATTGTGGTTGGTATTTGTTATTTCTGCTGACATTGGGTGCTGGATAGGAAATCTGCCTAGTTTGGAAAAGTGCAATGTAGCTAAAATACAAGAGCGGCCTATTTATTGTATGTATGAGGCAGTGTGGCCTCCAAAACCAGAGAGAGTCAGACAAAACTGAAAATCTGCAGATTTTGGTCTTTCATTTTAAGGGGCCTAGTCCAAGCCCTTATGAATTAGTTATGGAGGGCTCCCCACTTGGGAGGTATGAGAAGCCAACATGGAAAAGAGGGAGAGGCTTCACCCACCTCCTGCCAAAGGCTGGCTGTGGTGGCCTGCAGGTGCAGTGGCTTTGGGTTGCAGTGTGTTCAGTGTAGGTCAGCAGAGCCCAGGTGTGTGAGGCTAGAAAGTGTAGGGCTCCCAGCAGCCTGGATTTGTTTTTGCCTTAGAGCCCATGTGTGATACTGGGCAAATTGCTTCAGCTCCATCTCACTGCCATTTTCTTTGAACAGACTGTGGCTTGTGCCTTCTGTTTTGGTCCATTTATATTACAGGGCCCAAGTGTAAAGGCAGTGCTTCAAATGATGTGTGGACAGAGCCCAGCAGAAGAGGCTGATGATGAGTAATGGGAAATACAGGGATGGGGGCCATCATCAGCTTCAGACCATGCTGTGTTCTCCATGCAAAGTCTAGGAAAGGAGTGTCTGTTGATGCAATGGCAGAGGTCATTATTTTCTGCATGGAAACTGAAATAGGTACAATACCTGGAATAGAATGTCAAGAATCTCAGCTACCAGATTGATTTCTCAAGCTAATAAATCCTTGGCTGAACTTGCTGTGTTAAAATATATGTCCAGGCAAGATTTGTAATTGGCTCTTAGGAACAAGAGAGCAAAGGAAAAAAAAATAGATTGTTCCAAGATTAAGTGTCTTACATTTGACAACTTTAATTGACTTATTAATAAACTTTTTTTTTAAGGATTATGCTATATATTATTCAAATAAAGTAGTTGTAGGCTAGCTCATCTAAAAAAGCCACAAAGCTCTGGCCAAGGGAGTTTGGGTGTTCTGGGTCATATACCTGCTTCTAGAACTTCTGGTCATATGAATGGCCTTATCCACACCAAAATTATGTGTCCCACAGAGATGACACTTACATGACTTAGGAGGCAAATGGAGGTTACCATACTTACTGCCTGTCTCCTCATGTGAAAAAGTAAGTTGTGGTAACCAAAACACATCAGCATGGTTGCATTTGTACAAAAAAGTTTTCTGCTCTGTATGTGGGCATTCAGCATTTCCAGATGTTCAACAGCTTCCTCAGGACAACTACTAGGCAACTAGAATTCCTGGAGAAATGCACAAAATCCTTAAATGTTGTTCAGAAAGAAAAAAAAAATCATAAGCAAAAAAAAGAAAATATCTGTGGGAAAACCTGAATGTATGTTAGGTCCAATCTATGTTCTCAGTCAGGGAGGCTGAATGTGTGGTAAACAGACCTTGCACAGCCCTTCAGGGAAATTCATCCAGCCTGGGGCTTATTCCAGGTACACTTTTTTCACTAGGGGACCATGCCACCCCTCTCCCTTGTGAACTGCTGCTACTCTGCTACAGAGTGGGTTTTGGGCAGGCAGTGGGTGAGCTGCTGCATTGAGTGTGTGCACAGCAAATCCAGTCCTTCCAGGGAGCACAGGCCCCTGCTGAGGCCAACAAGTGAGAAGGGTGATGGTACAGCTTAGCATGGACCCTAGAAGAGGAATTACAATGGGGTAAGGAACATGCAGGTGTTTGGGTTTTGGGAGTGGGTGATTGAAGTATTATCACAAAGTGCCATTCTGAGACCTTCTCTGCATTGATTGACGTCTCATTTGAAATCTCCTTCTTGCCTGATTGAAAAAAAGCATGGAAGCATATACTTAATTCTCTTGAAGTGCAGTGCTTTAAAGCTGCTGCTCTCTGTTGAACATCACTGGCTCAATAAAGATTCATCATGTCAGATATAGTCCTTAGAATTGGTCAATGTATTGTTTCTCCAGTGATTTTACATTTTCTTGCCATCTAAGTAGTTATGGAGCATGGAAAAATGTTTCCTTGTTTCATATCAAAGGTCCAATCTGTGATGTAGGCAGCAATTAATCAATAAAATCACTTGCTTTACTGAAATGATGTGTTTTATAAATAAGTTAGTTTTCATATGCAAGCCTTTCAAGAAAGCAGTTCACACAAGGAGAGCTGGTGTCAGCATTTTTTAATCCTGAGATGACCGAGTTTCTCCTTATGGACACCAAACAGCTTCTTCTAAGAAACTTCTAGGCACAAGACAATTTCTGTGCTTCTCAAAATATGCCATACTTTTGGTGTTTTCCAGGGAGAAGACTCTGAGCCAGGCTGCAAATACTGTATGCAGCTGTTAGCTTATGAAGGCCAAAAGATCTCAGGTTCTACACATGTATTAAAACCTCTGTATGCCTAGGACTAAAAATCTGTGGACCAGCTCCTGATCTCACTGAAGTTAACAGCAGGATTTGTGTTGAAACAAACAAGAAGAGAACATAACTAGCAGTTTGGGATTATCTGTCTTTGTCCATATTCTCTACCACTCGAGAATTATTATTTATGTGGCATTGTTAAGTGATGGAAACTTTTACCAAGTCTGAACTTAAATGCTTCCAAAGCCTTTTTCAGTTTTGGAGAACATTTATATCAAGTTATTCTTGGAATAATCTTCTGCTTTGTTTATTATTATGTGCTATCCAGTAGGCAGCTAATTATGAAGCACAGGATACTTCCCATTCTAGGAGGATATATAGTACCTCACTGGATGTTCTTCAGGGTCCATTTTCATTACATTAAGTAAGGTGTTTACTTGCTTGAATCCCTTGGATCTTAAAAAAAAGAAAAATAAGAAGTTCAACACTGAATGAGGAATGAAGTTCAACACTGAACAGCCAGTATAGCCCCTTACTGTGTGAATGCTTTTATACCACATCACAGGCTGTTCTTTTTTTTTTTTTCAGAGTGGGTATTCAAGCTCTGGACCTGCATCAAGCACTCCTGCCTTCAGGCCTGAGGATGAGCTGGAACATCTGACCAAGAAAATGCTGTATGACATGGAGAATCCTCCGTCTGATGACTACTTTGGTGAGCCATATCACAAGTGTCTGTGGTCCTCTTCTGTATTTACTGGGTTTAGTAATGGGAGGCCTGACAGCTGCACTGGTAATGTAGTGACACTCGTGGTGATGGATGTGCTTTCCATGCTTGGGCTGGAAGTGTAATCATCCATAGGAATTCCTCTGTAATTTCAGCATAAATCTCATGCTCACTCACTGTATGTTTATAGTCTTACTGGATATAAAGTTGAATTTTTCAGTGTCTGGTTCATTTTCACACCATCTGTCCCCAGCTTCCAGGCTACCAGTCTGAATTCAGGTGTGGTCGCTGTTGTGTCTGCCTGCCCCATCCTTTCTCATTGCAGCTGCAAAAAAATTCTGGCAGTGTAAATGTGTTCTGCTTCCAAGCCATGGATTTTCATTTTCTCTGTGCTGGCACAGATTAAAAGGAAATCCATTTTGAGTCAATCAGGTTGGTTATACATGGGGACCCAGAACTGGGTCCAACAAATACATGTAAGACAAATCTGGACTGATTGGTTCATATCTTGCTTACCTGGGAAAGATAAGCATCTAATTTCCTTCTTAAGTGTTATATAATTATCTTAGGCATCTATAGGTGTAGAATTATATCTTGCCTTTACATGAAACATAGGTGATTAGACCTCTGAACTATGCATTGAAATCAAGAGTCTTGGGCACTCGACAATGTTCGGATCAATGGATCTGCCTATGTGCTTAGTTTCTTACAGGCTTGGGTAATAATGTTATTATGAAAAAAACTGCTGTAGTTTGTAGATTTAAACACTGGGGCAGGCCATTCATTTTGTGTTCTTTATCTTTCTTTATTTCAACATTTCTTAAAAATTAATTTAGATTGCCCCCAGTTCTATTGCTATAGAGTTTGGTTGGACCAAAACATTTCTGGCTTAAAGAAACTTTCATGACCTCGTTTAATCAGAAAGCGGGTGGGACCACAGTTTCACGAACAAACAAGGATCTTGCAGTGGCAAGGATCTGATAATATGAGAAGATTAAGATGTTCTCATCAAACAACCATTGCCCTTGTAGGTGGGGTTAGTATCAGTCCCAATTGTCTATCAGTACCTTCTACCTTCTGTGGCTGTGCCCTAATAACCAAAATGTCTTCTCTGTAAACACTGATAGTCATCAGAATTGATGATTATCACAGATCTGAGGTGTGAGCAGGAATGGCTAACTGAATATAAAATAGCCAGGGAGCATTTTCTGTGTTTCTGCCTTTGACTCTGCCCATAGCCATTTGGGTTCACTCTCTGATGTTTTAAACATGAAGCTACAACCAAATAAACATAATATGTATTTAGCCATTAGCTGGCAGAAAAGAGGGAGAAACTTTTTCTGCCCTCTTCAGGCAAATGGCTGAAGCCCTGAAGCATGAGATCTGATTACAGCAATTTTCTTAAAGCAGAACTGTGTGGCAGGAGTTGGTTGATGGACCAAAGCCCATTCACCCAAGAAGGTAGGCAGATAAACAAAGAAGATTCACAGGCTGCAAGGTCAGGAAGGACCTTGCCATTATACTGCCTAATGTCCTACTCTCAGTTTCTCCCAGGAACATGATTGAATCATGACTTTAAAAAAAAAAAAAAAAAAAAAAGATCTAATCTTATCTTAAAAACTTCAAGCAATGGTGAGTCAACCACCTACCCTGATAAGCTGTTCTAGTGATTAATTTTCCTCACAGCTCGAAAATTGCTTCCTGAAGTGAAGCTTTAGTTTTGTTTACCACTTGTATTTATGAAGCTGCAAAGCTCAGATTTTGCAGACTAATATTGTATGACTAAGATTGCTCTGCTCTGTTGGAGAGGGTGGTACATCAAAGTTTCTTCATCCAAAAGGGATGCATTGCTGAAAGGGTGGGAACATAAAGTCTCACAGGTCATCAATTTGGCTATCAGATCAGACCAATGTCAGACCAATGCCATGCCATTAGCTCTTAATTCAGCAAGAGACTAGAAAATGGAAAGGAGGCTTCAGAGCACTCAGAAGTTTTGCCCGTGTTATTTATATAAACAGTAGCATAATCAAAGATGGAATAAACATGCATGATTCATGGTGGAAAAATCAAACAACAACCTTCGCCCTACCCTGGGCAGGTCATGTGTAATTACCAACTGCACCTGATTGAACTAATTGCACTGTGTGCCAGTGAAGCTCATCTCTGAGGTGATGTCCAGTCTTGGCATTCCTGATGTGCCAAAGAACTATGTGTTGGGCTGAACATCTCCTCAACTCCCTAAGGATGCTGCACCCCATACAGCCTTCTGGTAGCATTTGTATATAACAAAACACAGAATGCTGGAGCACAACTGCTTCATATGCTTAGGTACAGTTGATACCTGAAGAGGCTGACCTGGAACAGAGGGCTAGACAAAGTAAAAGGAATAAAGTAGATATTTATTAAAAGGCCTTCAAGGGATACACCTTGGGCAGTACCAGAGCCTGGCTGTGGCTCTGCCCACGATGGACCCAAGATGGATACAAGATGGACAACCAGTCACGAGTTTTCACACTTTTATAAGTTTTGGTAAGTTTTTATTTACATATTTGGGTCAATTGTCCAATTACAGCTTCAGGTTTTGAAGTCCCAACCTCCCAGATTGCTCTCCTCAATTCACTGTTTATACGTCTTGAGCCTAAAGGTGCAGTGGTGTCCTTGGTTCTCAGGCTGGGAAAGGATTGTTTTGTCTAACTACCCTGTGAAGAGAACTTTATATAAAGTTCAGAGTCACACACTAAGGCAGTACAGAATCTAAAAAATATGAAAGCTAAAACTTAAGGGGTCACAGTGAAAGAGGTAGGCTGCCCTCCTCTTCCTAGCTTTGCTCCAGCCCAGGCTTCTCCCTGGGTCTCTGGAGTCACAGTGGATGAAGCTCTCTGATTTGGCAGTGCAGGCCTGGAGTTTTGTACTAATTCTGGCTATGTCAGAACTAAATACTCATCTCTACTTGAGCTGTCAGCCAGTGCCTTTCAGTAACTTCGTGCTCATGTGGAAAGAACAAATTAAGTGTGGGAGGGAAAAAGTCTTTCAACTTTGGTTAACTGTCTCAACCAATATCTCTGCTCTTTTTCTTTAGTTGTTTAGCATGGTAGTGTGGACTGTACAGGATTCATATGGCACATTGATCAAATAATCCGAAAAAGGACAAATGGGCAGAGACATTGACTCTGATTTGCATTAAATATCTTATGCCTGAGGTCTAAATGCCATGGTAATTGTAGCATACCAGATAGCTGTCAGCTAATCACTTCTATTAGTTTGAATTTGGAAAACTGGATTTCAGCATATTAAAAGTTGGTTAAGAGCAGATAGGTTTTGAATTGAAGAATCTAATTGACCTTGCTAGAAAGCTGCAAGGCGTTATATTAAGTCATGAAAATAATTTGTTGGAATAATTACATTTGAACTGTCAGGCTGGAGAAAGGTCATTTTACTTGGTCTGCCAGTACTCTGGGATCTTCTTGTAACCAACTTCCTTCTGCAAGTTCATTCACTGTATCTCTGGTTTTCAATCAAGCCATCTTGGTTCTGTAGTCAGCAGAATCTGCCCAGAAGTGGGTAGGCTGAAGGTTCCTTGGGAAGGAAGAGTAGTCGTCACTCAAGTTGTCTCTTTGCCCTGGAAGTTCTGTCTGGCAGACCCAGTGAGCTGAGGAGCAGGACAGCCAACACTTCCATCCAGACTGTGCTTACTGCACCTCTCTGCAGCTTCCCAGGTGGAAACCACTGAAAGTGATTTCAGAGTTGGGGGAACTGTTCTAGGCAGGGATTGCTCACACAAGCATTCACAGCTGGCAGCAGGGCATGGATCACACTGCCCTCCTGGGGAGCCTGGGTATGTGGTAGGAGCCAGGAGAAGCATGCTGGAGATGCTTGGAAGCAGCAAGATCACAGTTGGCAGCTTTGTCTTTCCAGGACTTACCACAGCAGCACAATCCAGTCTCAGGGAAATCCTCTAGCTGCTATTGGCAAGGCAGTGCTTAAGCATGGAAATGCCACTAAGCATAATAATTTTTAAGAAATTCCTGTGAATTTTTAGGAGTTAAATGTGCATGTTGGGTATTCTGCCTAACTTTTGTTAAGACCAAACTACTATAATAAGTCGAAGCACCCCAATCCTTGGTGTATGTCCCTTCCTACCCCCTTGTAGATTCTGGAGGAACTTGTGGAGTGACTACTCCTGGGAAGTCCTTGGCAGATCAGCAAATTAAAGTCTTTTGAGTCTAAGCTGCTCTTCCTTCTTTACTGATGATTAAGTTGCTGATCTGTGGTAGTTGGCTGTCTTTAATCAAATCCCTTTTTATTAGAAAGGATTCCCAAATGTCTTATGCTCTGTGCAGTAGGGATAGTTTCTCTCCATCACAACCCTCCCTGTTGATAAATGTACTATTATAGACAGGCATGTCTGATTTGTTTGGAAAAAATAATATCTAGTGGAGTGGAAATTGGGTAAGGTTGAAGGAGGAGAAATGGATACTTATAGGAGATTAAAATGAAACTATCAAAATTGTTTGTTGGCTGCCATGGGAAATTACAGCCCTTGATTCTGCATTATAAAAAACCCAACCAAATACAAACACACACACAAAGATCACAACTGTTCTGGACCACTGTTTCAAGTCTTATAGAAAGAAATTACTTCTGGCAGCTTATCAGTCTCTATCACCATGCAGACAGTGCTGATTAAGACTGGAAAAGTGCCATTGAGGCCCCTCATCTCCTGTTGCCTTCTGGGCTATGTCCCAGCTGAGTCACTCCCCACAGCAGTTTCCCTGACTGGTGGGAAGAAACTCACAGTGGTATTTTACCATAAATGCTCAGAGCTACCAAAGGAACCACCAGTTTAATGTATTGGATAATGTAGCAGTCTTCTTTTGTAGTTCCGGCATGCTGTAGGGATGTAGGGAGAAGAGAGATGCGAAAATCATCCTGTGGGAAATACTCAGTTTGTGCAGTAAAGGAATCATCATTTAAGTTTGAGCTGATAA